TCACTGGCCATATTGAAGCCGTTTAAGACCCGAGCTGTGGGCACGATTTGATCTTGTAGGCCGAGCTGCTCCACGACCCTCGATCGGATGATATTCGCCGAGCTACCAGGATCCACTAAAACACGCTTAACTTGAACTTTATTTAATAAGATAGAAAGTACCAGAGCGTCATTGTGTGGCTGAGAAATGCCTTCTGCTTCTTCGTCGTTGAATGATAAGGAGCCATCGGGCACATAATCTCGGGTTCATTTTTCCCTAGTGATTGATACCTTAGTGCGTTTGAATATGGGTCCCTGTGGAATGTCGACCCCACCGAAGATCATGTGAATGACGTGTTGGGGTTCCTCCTGTTCATTTTTCCTATTGGCGTCCCTTTCTCTGAAATGATTCTTGGTCCGATCGTTGAGGAACTCTCGAAGATGGCCATAATTGAATAGACGGGACACCTCTTGCAATCTTCGGTCCTGTGACTATGCGTGCCATGATACTTGCACATCAAATTTGGGTTTCTTTGAGAAGGATCGGTCTGTATGGGTCTGGGCCACCTAGTATTTGATCCTTCCGATTGCCGATACAGTGCCCGGTACATCGATGCTAAAGTTATATTCCGATAACCGAGGTGCCTTTGTAGGATCGGCATGCTTATCAAAACCACTTTTGCTCATAAGTCCCCGAGATTTCTGTCCTCGATCTCTTCTTCGATCATTCAGGGCGGAATTGCGTCATGAACCATTGTTCCTTCGATTTGCGCTATATGGTTGATATCGTTCCCTGTTAGACCTTGGCTCCCTATCGACGTCCCTCTGGGTTTTAACTGCCGACCTGTTTGGATGTACTGAATCGGAAGGGGCTCCTAATTGGTCGTCCTCGACCCTGATCTTCGATTGATATCGATTGTGCACATCTGCCCAAGTTACAGCTGGATACTCGATCAAATTTTGTCTCAACTGACGTGATACTATCGAACTCCGCTTGTTCAACCCTTCGGTGAAAGCTTGAACGGCCCAATCATCTGTGACCGGTGGCAACTCCATGTGTTCCATTTGAAATCGGGATACGAACTCCCTCGGCATTTCGTTATCCCTTTGTCTTACCTTGAAAAGGTCCGATTTTCTTGTTGCGATTGTTATGGCCCCGACGTGTGCCTTTACGAAAGAATCTGCTAACATGGCAAATGAGTCGATGGAATTTGGTGGCAGGTTGTGATACCAAATCATTGCTCCTTTTGATAAAGTTTCCAAATTTTTCAACAAAACGGACTCAATCTCATCATCTTCTAAGTCATTTCCCTTTATTCCGCACGTGTACAAAGTGATGTGTTCATTAGGATCGGTGGTCCCGTTGTACTTAGGTATGTACGGAACTTCTTAGGAATGAGCTTCGGAGCCGCACTTTGAGGAAAAGGCTTCTGCACGAACTTTTTCGAATCCAAACCCTTTAGGACCGGGGGTGCCCCCGGTATCTAATCAACTCGGGAGTTGTATGTTTCCATTTTTTTATCATTAGCTTCGATTTTCTTCTCTCCTGACTCAATTCTTTTGGTGAGCTCCTCGAGCATTTTCATTATTGCATCAGTCCCCGATTCGTTGCCATTCGACCTTTCTGGCACTGGCTCAGTACGGCGAGTGATTTCTGGCTCGACCACATTTGGAGTCCTATGTTGATTTTGCAACCGAGCAATAGCGGCCTGCTGAGCTTGTAGCATCTCGAATATCACCTGGAGACTAACTCCTACGTCTCCTCTACCCTGTGTACCTTGACCACCAGATCGACCTTCCCTACGTACACTCCCTACGGGGTCCGCGCCTAGGTCCTCATTCAGAGCAACGTGCAAACTGACATCGATTGGATCGGCAGCCATGCTCCCCCGAGATTAGCCGGTGGCACCCCGGCTCCTGGAGCAATTACATTGTCGTTTTTCCCGTGAAACCCGAGACCATCATCACCATGTGAGTGCGTTTTGTGAGTTTGACATGTTTTAACCTGAGAGCAAAAATACTTGACAAGAACAAGTGTGAAATAATGTGTGTTATCAGAATCAGCACCGAACAATCACTATTATCCTTAGCCTCACGGTGTGCGCCAAACTGTTTACCCTCAAATTCGGATAATAATTAAACTTATATTGTGATTTTAATATACGAGATTTAGTCCAATACCAATCGATAAGCAAGAAAATAAATGACTAAATTAGAGAATAAAGTTAATCAAACCAGTGTGATGGCCAGGTCTCAACCTCGACTTGGGATAGCCTCGAGGTGGGACGGCAAGAGTAGTAAAAAATAAAGCAACTCTGATGAACAGTAAGTGAAATAGCAGGAAGGTAATGAATGTATATATTCTTATGAGTGAACAATGATGCCCCTTACAAATGAATGAGATCTCTCTTTATATAATAGAGGAGTCCTAAATAAGGTACACTTCTAATTATAGTAGAAAATCATATTAACATCTAATTAACCGTTGTAGATCGATCTGTTCCGAGATTCACGCCACAATTCTCAACCAATCGCGGATATCTCGCCTTTTCCGTTATCAAGTCATGCCGGTGTCACTTGAAGTCTGCCTCTTTCCGTCCGCAATCGAGGTTGACCTCGACCCGGACTCGACGTCCTAACTCTTTCCCGTGACGTTCCTATCTTGACCAAGGAATGAAATCGGGTAGCCCCGATTTCCACCGTATACACATATATAACAAGACTGCATAGAAATCCATTTATTTATGGTGTAATTTGTAAGTATAGTTCTAAAATTTAGACATACATTTTTCTAATTATTTTTTCTTTTAAGTTTGTACAGTTTTTTTGTTGGTGGTGAAATCTATTTTTCCCAGCCATGATTTGCGACAAGCTTGGCCAGAAAATATATATATTTTTTGATAGTTCGGCATTCAAAACCGAAAGAAGAACAAATAAATGAGAGATATAAGAAGAAAAAAATATTATTTGTTCACAAGTGACCATGTGTTAAATTAATTTTTGTAACAATAGATAATGTGGAAACTTAATTTTACATTTTATTTTTCTCATACTAATCGTAAAATAGGGACTATAGAAACTTCACATAATGTAGGCGTGCAAGTTGCAAATTGAATCAGGTTTGAGAGAGCTTTTATGTGCTCCTATTAAACATTCTTTTATTATGCATTATATATTTTTTAAATAGTTTAATTTCAAAAATATATATAATAATTAAAGGTATTTTTTAATCCGTAAGATTTATAAAAAAAAAAAATCTTAAAATTAATAGAAATAGACCCGATTATATGAAACTTTATAGGGATTTTTTCCTTCCTATACCATATATGAAAGTTTATTATCAAAAATGTGCATATTTTGTAAATTACCCGCCCAGTCCACATTTTACCTACAAAATTTGTACCATTTGAAAAGCAGGCATTAATGGATCAGAATATTCCTTAAAAACGCGCTAAAATTAAGGAGAGATTCTTGGTGATAATTGATTCTACATTAAATTCAATCTTTAAAAAGGGAAAGGAGATTTCATATATGCGATTTTTTCTCCAGAACTATAATTCAAATTCTGAAGGAAAAAAAAAACGAACAGATATTGAACTACTAACAGCTACAAAAACTACGAAAATATTCAACTACTAACAACTTCTAAGATTTACCAATTAAATGGACATAAAGTGGAGAGTTCAAAGGCAGATCATTGACAATAACTTAAAGAAGGGAGAAAAAAATAAAAATGAGAAGAAAAAAATAACAGCAATAGATCTTTTTAGTTTTATGATATTATCTACAAATTTACTACATATATCTACAATTTGACTATAATTTCTTTATTTGGTACAGGAAAAAAATATTTTAATATACAATGTCTCCAGATTGTAGATAAATTGTAGGCAAATTGTAGTTTACTTATAGTTTGTAGTTAATTTGTAGATAAATTGTAGATAAAATGTAGATATATTGTAGATACTATATTTTTAATATTGTAAATTTTTTTTCTTTGTGTTTGTTCTGAAAATGTAGGTGAGGGCTTCAACAGATCATATACATACTGTGTTGGATGGTGTGAAGCGGTACATTGTGTGTCTAGAAAACAAGAAATGTAGCTGTGGCCAATTCCAACTTGAAGAATTTCCATGTGTAAATTGTTTCCAGATTGTAGTTATAATGTAGGTTAAATGTAGTTAATTTGTAGTTTTTGTAAAATTTTGCAGACAATTTGCAGATTAATTGTGGATGTCACATTTCTACAATTTGCTCTTCATCTACAAAATTTCTACAAAAAACTACAAATATTTACCTAGTTTTTTGGGTGATTATATTTTTTTCAAAGTTGAAGTGTTTGACCAAGGTTTTAGAAGAAAAAAAAATTATTTTTGAGGAGAAGCAGAAGCAATTTTGGAACAGAAAAAATAGCTTTCCGAAAAATAATTAGAAATAGTTTTTAAAAGCCTGCCCAAATACTAATTGATGGTCAAAATGCTTTTCAAATTAATTAATTAAAAAATAATTATTTTTCACCTAAAGTACTTTTAATAAAAATACTTTAAAAAAAACTAATTTCTATCGACATGAGAAAGTAATTAAAAATCAATAACAAAATAAGCCAAATGAAAGTGCAAAACAGAAAAGAAGAAGAAAATAGATCAACGAAATCTGAGTCTTTGACTTTCTTCAATCCCGTTTCATTCTCTCCTCTGTTTGTCATCTCAAAGATTCAACTCAACTTCTTCCCTAAAACAAAGAACGTGGAGGGGTACGGGGACGAGGGGTTAGGAGAGAGAAAGTGAGGATTAGTACTTAGTACTGTCAAATAACGGAAGTGTTTAATTTAAGGAGTATAAAATATCATATTAATTATAACCTTAATTAGATATGGTATATAAATGGTAATTTGATATGCTAAATGTAATTAAGTGAAACCTTAAACATGTAGGGTAAAAAGGTTTCATAAGTGGGATAGGAATGTAAAAATTCCAACTTTATAAATTGGTCAGGCTTGGATCCCGCCCAGGAAAAAAATAACAGACCCACCGAGACTATTCTCTAACTTCTTTTCAATTTTTGCCTTCGATCTAAGGAACTGAAAGTTGAATAACAAACCCTTTTGCGTCTCCATTTCCCCTTTCTTCTTCTTCTTCTTCTTCTTCTTCTTCCTCTCAATCTCCTCCTAATTTCTCTCTCTATTTTCCGGCGAAGTGTGCAAATGGAGAGGGTTTTGGTGAGAAGAGAGAAGCTTCGAGCCTGGATATTCCTCTTCCTGTCGGTTGCTTATTGTGGCAGGATGACGGCCTCAGCGGCTAGATCTGAGAAGGAGATTAGGGAAAGGTTTTACGGTAATTTAGTTAATTCTTCCGCTCCCGACTCTAACGACGGCACTATTGCCAAAATGTTTGATCGCGTTCTCGAGAAAGAATTTTCTGAGAACGATCAACCTGAAGGTAAGGTTTCTCCATTTTTCTCTTTATTTTTTTTACCTTTTTTTCTTTTCTTCAGAATTAGTTTTTTTTTTATTTTTAAAAATCACTGGTTTCAAGTTGATTTATTTTCGTGTGGTATTGAAAATAGAATACAAATTGATGCTGTTTTTCAGTATGTTCATGACAAATTTACTTTCAGTAATTAGAATTTTCTATAGCTTAAGTGGCTAAAGAAGGTACATTTAAAAATATTCTTAATGGTACCATTTTTGTGCCTGGTTGATGGAGGTTATGGTAATTGATAGCATATAATGATATATTATACACCTTTTGATGATGCATTAATGTCTTATGCTCGATTATTGATAAACAACCTCTGCAAAATGGTGAACTAAAGGAAAATGAATTGCAGTTTGTGTGATGAAATATTTGATTAATCATGTTGCTTTTGTCACTTGATTAGGTTCGGATGGGAGCAGCTTTAACAGTACAGTGGCTGATGAGAAAGTAAGCTAAGCAACTAATACTTGTCACTGATTTGCTTTTTGATCATGTTAATTGTTATCTCTGATCTTAAGATCAGTGGAAGATTATTTGTTGAAGCTTAGGCAATACAAGAAATGCTTATTTAGCGGTTAGAGCAATATCCGTATTTTATTTGCCCAAAGTGTGTCAAATTTGAAGACATGCATATCCATTCAAACTTCAACGTCCTATGTTTTAAAGTTTATCTCCTAATCAGACTGCCAACAGGCCCAACATTATGACATACTTTGTCGCAATGTGACACTAGTACAATTTACTTTTGGTTCCGGCCGGTGGTTCTTTGCTCTTTTTATGAAAAGTTTACCTTTCTTTCTAATAGGGAGTGTTGGAGACTGTGGCCAAAATTACCCATGAGAAGATCAAGAAGAATGAGACACAACAGACAAAGTAAGCAAAGAAGTTTTAACTAAATAAATTACATGGCTCCTGGCTTTGGATGAACTCTGCTGAAGTTATTCAATTATTTGTCCTTTTTGCAGTGATACTAGATCATTCAAATTACAAGATGTTTTTTCCCTTGAAAATGAAGGTTCTGATGATGTAACTACATTGATTGACAAAAAGGTAAAAAATCTATGCTTGAATTGGTATAGGAAACATTGGTCAATATCTGTAATGTATGCTTAACTAGCTCTTTTTATACTGTTTTGCTTGATGGCAGGACAATGTGTTTGTCATGTCAAATAAGAAATCAAAATATCCAGTGCTTCAAGTTGATGTGAGGTTGATGTTAATCCTTTTCTTCTGGCAATATCGTTGATGAAACATAGATATTTGGGGATTTTCATCTTTATTTAGTTTTCACAGCTAGTGACATTTAGTTTTTGCTAAAATGTGTTTCTGCAGACTTATCTCAGACTTGGTGGTGGTTATAGTCTCTGCTGCCATTGGTGGAATCATCTTTTCTTGTTTAGGACAACCGGTTTGTCCTTGGTCGATTATGATCTTCTGTGCTTATAAATCTAAATATCAATTAAACCCTAGTACTAAACATGTTTAATCATGATTTCCTGTGTTAGGTTATTGTTGGTTATCTTCTTGCTGGCTCATTAATTGGACCAGGGGGTTTGAAGTTCATCAGTGAAATGGTACAGGTAATTAATCCACACGGCTTATGAGGAGCAATCATATCTGCTTGTTTGTCATGACCATAGATGTAGCAACAATGCAATTTTGTAATTTGGTACTCTTGTCCATATGGACACTAAAAATATTAACGGACAAAAAGATAGAGTACATGAGTGTGAAGCGGAAAAACAGAACGAATTTTGTTTCCTTCAGTTTCTTTATTTGATGAAGAGAGATGCTTTCTTTTTGTTTGTGCGTTTTCTTTGGGATGCTTAGAGGTTTGTTGTTAAAGCCAATTCTCATTTCTTGTCGTATGTGATACCATTGTTGGCTGCCAGTTAGTATGCAATCCTGGCTGCTTGAGTGCTTAACACTTCAATTAACAAGCAAATGCTCTTTGTAACTGGCTCATGCATGGTTGATCACTTTATATTCTTGAGTGACGTTCATTCATCTACTCCTACATTCCCAAGGTTGATATCATTCAAATATAGAACAGAGATTTCCATATCAGTTTTAGTATACTGAACTTCTCTTTTTAGGTTTGTAAATTGTAGACATGCGTCTTCATTTTTGTCTCCATCTGCTGTTACAAGCAAGCTAGTGTCCCTGCTATTTCAGGAAACCTTTGTATTTCTCCAGATGGTACTAGTTTCCTTGTTGTTCTAAGATTTTGACTGCTTCATAATTTGCTCGTTGTTTAGCAAACATTTCAGATTTTCATATTCCAGACTTGCACAGATACCCAGATCCTCCAAATGAGAGAAAGAGACCAATGAACTTGATTCAAATGAAAAGACATGAATGTTTTCAAAATCATGTTTGGGTTTGGAAAATCATTTTGGTGGAAGAGTTTTCTGATTGAGTGTTTGACTTCCTATCTAGATTTTCTGAGAGACTAAGAATCACATATGATATCCTAGCATTTACGAGTTAGGGTGTCTAGTAATCTATATTACACAGGTGCATATTTAGGTATCTTAAACTTCAGATTTGACTTGAAGTAGTTTTTCCAAATCTTAGTGAGTATCGAGCAATTCATCTTGTTAGTTAAAAATAGCCGTACAACTTGGAGAAATTATCCTTGTATTCATCTAGTTTACATGATACTATTCTAATAAGCTTATGCAACAAGATTTCTGCAAACATTGAATCATGTTCGTTCTGTCGATCGTGAGTAGTTGTTCCTGATGAAGTGCATTATTTCACGTACTGCAAAAATAGCAGAACCTGAGGTGCAAAAAATGGAAAGGTTTTCAGATATTCTTTTTGATTTTTGGAGTTCGTGGGAAGTAGGATAAATAGATGTCCAAAGGGTTGTCTAGAATGGAGTTATTGCATGCTTTCATAGTTGGTGTAAATTATTGGTCTTTCTATTAGTATTTCTTATGCATACAAGACTGAATTTTTGTTACCTGGTTATGTTATATTGGATAAAAGGTTGTCTGGTTGATTGTGTTGGTGTCTGTCATTCATATCTCTAACAGAAGAGCATCTAAGATTGGTCTGAAATGGAACATTATATGTCTACATCTGGCTAAGCACGTTTCAAGCAAAATGCTGCAGTGCTTTTGACTTCAAAAGACTAATGTATTTGGCATGGATTGTGAGATGTGTATTCTTTTGTTGTTATGTCCTTTTCTTTACAAGTCTCTGAAGTTACTAACATATTCTTGACTGAGAACTCATTGAATTATGATGTAATTGTGTGGGCTATCCTAAGCTCATCTGTTTCAATGTTGATTGTATTGCAGGTTGAGACCGTTGCTCAGTTTGGAGTTGTCTTCCTTCTATTCGCTTTAGGTCTGGAGTTTTCCTTGACAAAGGTGCTTTATATCATTCTATGTGATGCTTTTTCCATACAACTGTTAGAACTAATTTGAGAAAATATCTCGGTATTTCAGCATATATCTTTCCTTACTTGGGGCAGTCTCCTAACATACTATCATGCAGCTAAAAGTTGTCGGTCCTGTTGCTGTTCTAGGAGGGCTGCTTCAAATTGTTATCCTTATGTTTCTGTGTGGCGCAACTGCAATGGTATGGCTCTGGAACTGAATTTTGCTTCTTCAATTACTGATGCTTAATTATGCATTCTGTATTGGTCTGCAGTTATGTGGTGCAAACTTGTCAGAGGGAGTGTTTGTTGGTTGCTTCCTGTCAATGTCATCAACAGCAGTGGTATAATATAAAACCATGATTCTTATCAGTTTATCCTTGTCCTGAAATAAGGTAAGTCTCATTAATGATGTACTTTAACCATCTTAAATAAACAGGTGGTGAAATTTCTAGTTGAGAAAAACAGCAACAATGCTCTTCATGGTCAAGTGACGATTGGAACACTGATTTTTCAGGTAAAATCTGTGTATTACCAGACATCGAAACATGTTTATTGGTCATTTCATTTATTCATATCTACATATTACAAGAAGGTTGGTCCTTTTTTATTTATTTATCCCCAGGACTGCGCTGTTGGTTTATTGTTTGCTTTGCTTCCTGTTCTTGGAGGTAACAGTGGGCTTTTGCATGGAATAATCTCTATGGGAAAACTGTAAGCACTTATGGGAGTGCTTCTTTCTACGTTTTTTGTTTGAGTTGGCAGCAATTTGAGGCTTAGGGCAAAGACTAAATGTACTGTTTGCTCTGTCTAGGCTGCTCATCTTGTCCATGTACCTCAGTGTTGCATCAATTGTAACTTGGTCATTTGTTCCCCGTTTTCTGAAGTTAATGATACGGTTATCCTCTCAAGTGAGTACCTCTCACAATCATATTTTCATTTATTCTTTGCTCCGCATTCTTTCTCCCTATCCAATAATAGTTGGTCCCTTTAACTTGCATGGAGAGCAATGGAGAAAGTTTGAGTGGTTTATTACAACTGACTGTAAATATATGTTTCTTAAAGTGCGTCTGTCCTGAAAAACTTGATCAACTTTGACTAGTGATGAGATTAAGAAAAGAATGTTCAAATAGATTATTTTATCTTGTAGAGAAAGGTTTAACTAATAGTTTGAAGTATGAAAGCTACAATAGCTGGACGGAAAGATGTCACACCGTGTCTAAAGTACAGATCTGTATTAGTTTCAATTACAGTGGAATGGTAAACTTGTAGTTAAGCAAATAGGTCAAATATTTGGGACTAACCAAATTGACGGCGGGTCAAGTTTTTTCTGGGATAAAGGGAGTAGTTCTATATGTAAGGTAACTTGTCACAGGCCTTGTGAAGACAAAAGCTATAGTGTAATACAACTTTGTAGGATTTTCTATTACTTATAATGTTTGAAGATGTAAATTGGATCTGATGGGTAGGCGGAAAAAGAGTTTGTATCAAGTAAACTGTAAAAGTGCATCGATAAGGGGAAGTTTCAGCAGAGTAAATCATTATAAGCTCCATTTGCTTTTATCATTACCAACTTGATCATCATCAGCCAACCGAATTAGTACAGAAGGCCATTTATCTAACATTAGGGCTGCTGATTTTAGCAGTTTATATTATTCTTTAGCTGCTCCTTTAACTGTCAGACGTTTTCGGTTAACTGTAATGAGATCGGGCAGAATGAAATTCTTTCTTTAGGTTGTATTTTCTTCATTGAACGTCAGAGTGGAAGACCACTGTTCTGATCTTGATTTACCAACTTAACTGATGTCAGAATCCACCTAATTTAACTGAATAATGCAATGATGATTTTCCTAATCTAAGGAACAAAAAAGATGAGCTTTTGGCAGAATGGAATTAAACCTGAATCATGATTCCCTTGGAATCGACCATTACAATCGGGGACTGGAATGAAATCGACCATTCGGTAGTATCAAACCGGCCATAATTGTTCGAAACTACAGCTTGTCAGTTGATGCCAGGATATGATGACTCTTGGAATGAAATCTTGGAATCATGACTCTTTTCTTAGGTGACTCTGTAGTATCAAACCGGCCATAATTGTTTGAAACTACAGCTTTTGTCAGTTGATGCCAGGATATGATGCTGACAATAAATAATTTATATGAATCAGCTCTACTGCATGTGTTTTTATACACTTCTGAGCTTCATGCTTTATGCCATTTTTCCTTTTCACGTTGTTTGCTTTCTGAATTCCTTGTCATTTTCAGACCAATGAATTGTATCAGCTTGCGGTGGTGGCATTCTGCTTATTATCTGCTTGGGTTAGTTGGAACGCTGTCCTAATATTCTTTACCAAAAATGGGGATATATATATATATATATATATATATTTTGTAAATGCATTCTGAAGAATTAGTGACTAGCTAGTAAGCAGTGCCAGAGAATACTGAAGATATTTCTTTTGATTCTTCAGTGCAGTGATAAGCTGGGACTCAGTCTTGAGCTGGGTTCATTCGTAGCCGGGGTTATGATATCCACAACAGACTTTGCACAACATACCTTGGACCAGGTATTGATTTATGATAGGATGTTTCTTTGCTCATGCTTTCATTAAGACATAAAATAGAATGTAGACCATAGGGGTGTGCATTCGAATCGGTTTATCGATAAATCGAATCGATTATTTGTTATCGGTTTATCGATTTATCGATTTCGATTTCGATTTCGAAATTTTCCTTATCGAGTTATCGATTTCGATTTCGATTTTGTCCTCTTCGGTTATCGGTTTATCGATAAACCGATAAGAAATACAAAAAAAAAAAAAATTAATTTTTTTTTAATATTTTTTTTTTTTACCCTTATTCTATAATACCCTTTCCTTTACCCTAAGTCCCTAACCCTATTATTTCATCTACCACATTTAAGGAATGATCATATTTAAAGCTCAAGGGAATGAAGTTCAAATTAATGGAAAATAGAATTAGCCGTGATGATGTATTTTTTTTTTATACCGTTGGAGTGTTGGTGGCATACATTTGATCCCTTACTTTAGTTTCATTGCATGTGCTTGTTGACACAATTTTTATGTTATAAACGGTGTTCGTCTTATTTTAGCTTCTTTTGGTCCATATTAGTTAGGCGTGTTTATAGCGATATACTTTCCGTGGAATCCTGCAAATTTTCTTATTGGTGTAATCGATAACCGAATCGATAAGCCCCAAAAATCGATAAATCGAAATCGAAAAAATCGAAACCTTATTGAAACGATAACGATAAGCATATGTACAAATTGATAATCGATAAGTAATTATCGATAAGGGTCAAAATCGAATCGATAAATCGAATGCACACCCCTACTAGACCATGAACAAATCTATGAGGCATCCTTACTTCAAAGTTCATTTTTCTATTTCAACTCACCAATCTTATGTATGTAGATGTTGCTACGAGTTTTCTCATTTTTTCTGAACATTCTGGCATCTTACAACATCTTTTAACACAATGATTTCTGATTTGGTCATCTTCTTCTATTTATATTTTTTCCACTGATTTTAGAAAATTTCTAATCTCTAAAGGATATACTTCCCTTCTCTTTCATCATTCTATCCTTCTTCCGTCTTGTTTTTCCAGTAATGTCTTGAGTAGGTCCCTCATTACTTAGTAAGAAAGTTTACAATTCATCAGTAGCTGTATTTCTTTTTCATTGTTGGATATATGGAAAAAGAAAACATCAGAAATAGCTTTTTACTTACCATTTTTGCTGTACAATAATGACAGATTGCATACTTGGAAGCAGCTTAATTTTCCCAACTATGCTTTGCGATTGTTAAGTGTCTTAATATTACTTGTAGGTGGAACCAATTCGTAATCTCTTTGCAGCTCTCTTTCTCGCTAGTATCGGAATGCTGATACATGTACAGTTCCTATGGACACATGTGGATATCTTGCTAGCATCAGTTATCTTGGTTATAGTTTTTAAGACTACTGTAGCCACCATGATTACAAAGGTTTTTGGATATAACATTAGGACATCAGTTATTGTAAGTCATCCATCTAAACACTTGTTAGACAAAAATTATATTGCCTTATCTTTTATGAGTTTGAATGACTTTACAGGTTGGGCTTTTGCTTGCACAAATTGGAGAATTTGCATTTGTGCTCTTGAGTCGTGCCTCAAACCTGCATATTGTTCAGGTGATCTCATCCTACTGATCTTTTTTTCTCTTGTTATGTTTCTTATAGTTTTGGACCTTCCTCTTCATAATACCTTTTAGGAGGCAAAAAGTTTTTTGCATTCAAAGCGCAACACTGATCTCCCCATGCTCTTCCACTTAATGTCTTAGGTTTATAGAAAATAAAGGAATTGCACTTGCTTTTGTGGAGATAGATTATGAGCTCCAGTGTTTATGTTGTTTTAAAGTAGGTTAGATGGCACAATTTGAATTTATATACAGATACAAGGTTAAAGGTCACCAAGTGGTTCTCTAATTTCGTTTTCAATCACAATTCTGCATGAAGTGTGTTTTACATGTACGTATAATGTAATTTAAATTTGCCCTAGTTGAATTATAAGGTTTTAATATGTCAGTCATTGTGTTTTGTAAACAGTAGATATATACAACTCTCCAGTCGGCAGTTTAGTTTCTTGATCAACCTATAATTTTAAAAAAAAAGGAGACACTTGTCTTTTTTTTTTCCTGAGCTAATTTTCCAGGCTGTCTAGATGTTATTAGTGTAACTGTTCCACGTAATGCCACAATTAACATTTTTCCCATTGAAGATTAGCTTTCAAGAAAATTTAGAAGACCTCCTACTTATTTTTACAAAAAAAGAAAGAAAAAAGGCCCTAAAGAAACTCTGTTTGTTTTTCATTAAGAAACAAGTCTCTTGAATTCATTTTTATCTTGCAGGCTCCTTGACCTTGATTAGGTTGCTTTAACTGATACTTTGTGCCATATTATCTAATTTCACCAAGTACTTCATTTATTCCACTCAAATTTCACTTTATCACTTCTATTGAATTCAGCTAAGTTTCTTTTACATATACAGGGAAAGATGTATCTTCTTCTGCTCGGAACAACTGCTCTAAGTCTTGTGAGCTTCTAAATCTTCAAATTGCTTGAGGATATACTTCCGATGCTATTTGTTTCTTATTTGATGTTTATGATTGATAATTTTGTGCAGGTTACAACTCCAGTCTTGTTCAAGTTGATACCTGCTATCATGCACCTGGGAGTTCTTATGCACTGGTTTCCTGTGGAAAATATCGCGCCGGATGAGGTAGTTTTTCTTACTTGGATCATGGACTAATTGACACAAACTTTATTGCATGGTGGCCGAAAATGCTGTTTTATTTTCCAGGTTGATGCTAATTGTAGATGAGATGAATTTTCTTTTGCAGGAGAAAGTTTCAATGATCGAAGCACACAATAGAGTATTGTAACATTTGCTGTTATCATATCCAGTAGTATCAAAAGGAATGGCTAGATGGCAGAGAATTGTAAAATACCCAGTTTTGGCGGGCAGTAAATTCGATGTGCATTACTCAGCCTGAACTCATCAAGGATGCAGAAGTTATATAAAGTCAAATTTGTTTTGTACATAAATATTCTTCTGCATTCGGATGCTGTACATATTCCCACTTTTTTGTCTCACAAAATTGTAGCTTGATCTGAAAAAACGAGATATACCTTGACATTTGCAGGGAATGCCAAAGAAATTATCTGCCGTCCAGTTTTCTATCCTTTGGACTCGGAAAATTTGGATTGCTTCAATTTAGGAGCATTTTCCAATTCCTTGCAATATAACTTATTACTCGAGTCTCGTATATGCTTAAGAAATAGAGGGATTAGTATTTCCTCCTCCAAATAAGCCAAATCAAAAGGACAAAGAAAGACACTACGGAATAAAATAAAGGATCAAATCTAGGGTGACGCTTCTATCTAATCTTAGAAAACCTACGTGATATAACCTACTAAAGAACGACCCTTAGAACTGCCGATAGGGGCCAAGAATGCTTTTCGAGACACCATATCTTGTCTTTATGCCATTTCCAGTTGAAAAAGAGAAAAAGCATATACGTCCCACGCAGATAAACTAGTTGAGAAATATTCAGATACGACTAAATAATAAGTGAAAAAACAAGCACCGTTGGTTCTCTAAAATCTTTTCTCAAAGCCCTATTTAATTTAGTAATACGAGTTGTTGGTACTACTCTAGCAACAGTAATGGATTTTCATAGGGCCGAAGCCTATGTGCTTGTTTTCGTCACGTAGTTTCCCACTTCTTAAAAACTTGAGGTATTCAGTTTTGGGACTTAAGCTTCCCATGGCATGGCCCATGGGTGTAGAAATGGTCCGAGCACTCTTTGTTGTTCTCATTATATCGCATTTCAAGTTCGCAATAGAACGCAAGAACTGTTAACGCAAACTCGTAATATTACAATTTCAATGTCGTTTGAGTTGAAGAAGCACAAATAGCCGAGCAAGGATCTAATCTTTTCTTTTGTTGTTGGCGGTTTATTAGGAGAATATATAAGGACCATGTAGAGGTGATTAAATTGAGAATACCATTAAATCAGCTCTTGAAGACCAAACTCAATTTAGTACTGAATAGCTCTTCTCTCTCTCTCTTGACCAAAGTGTTCTTTTATCTATCTATGTATCTATATTATTATAAAAGCATGAATACAATGTCGGCTTACAAAAATAACCTTATAATATTAAGCATAATAACTCATAATAAAAGGACATAACTGGAATTAGATATTAACCTTATAATCCTATTAGTTTTAGGACATAATACTACACGTTAGGAATCCTATGTGATTACCTTTAAGAATCCTATTAGTATAATTACTTTCGGGATGTCTAATTCATGTAAAATTAAACAAGTAAATATCTTTAGTCATGTAATCTTATTACTTTTAGGATATACTTCTTAAAAATTCCTATTAGTAATTTAATTTTAAAACGTATTATAATGTCCTATTACTAATTTAATTTGAGAATGTATTATATTGTCCAAATCCATAATACACACATTAAAAAGAAAATTAAATATTATAATAGAGATGTTACGAACAAAATGTTCAATTGATATCTGGTTGGAAGAGTAAGAGATTGCGGTACTCTAATTTATTCAATTTTGTGGATAAATTGAAAGTAAATAAACTCCAGTCGTACTACAACTAACATTAACTTAACAATACAAAATTGGTAATCACTATTAGAAATCCGGTAAAAAGTGACCACAAAAAGCGACCAAAGTTGGTCGCTTATAGGCCTAAAAGCGACCAAAAAGCGACCAAACATGCCTGGTCGCTGTATTGCTGGTCCCTTTAGTTTAGGGACCAAAGTTGGTCGCTAAGGTAAAATGACCAAATATTCGGATAAAGACTATAGCGACCCAACTTTGGTCGCTTTTTTATTTTAATAATATAATTTTTGCGACCAAAGTTGGTCTCTAAATGTAAAATACGTTTTTTATTTATTTATTATTAATCATAAAAAAGCGACCAACTTTGATCTCTAATTCAAATATTATATTTTAAAATCTGGAAAATAGAGACCAAGGTTGGTCGCTCTTTTACTAATTTTTTTAAAAAATTAGCGACCAAAGTTGGTCACTAAATTCAAGAATTTAATTTTTTTCCAAACATTGTTTTTTTTATTGCATCAACTTTTATTGAGATGAAAGAAAATATTATTTGGCCGTTTTATCAAATTACATTAAAAAAAACAGAAATCATATATTTTTTTTAACTAAAAATTCTTTCATCTAAAATAATTCAAATAAAATTTTCTGATGGTTAGACTAAAATTCTAAAATTTCAGTTTTTTCAGAAACATTTTTGCAAAAACTGAAAGAAGAATTTTGGACAATATTTTCTTCATAATAAACGCCCTCCTTAATTAATTGCATAAGGATATTAATAATCTAATATGACAAAAAGCAGATATAATAAGTACCCCTCATCTAGTGCTAAAAATAAAATATATCAAAAATGACAACCGAAATCTCTATGTTGCGGAAGTTCTACACTTTTGGATGGGTGTATTTTGCTTGTTTGTTGTATTTATAGTGGAATTTTTGGTTTTCGGATTGGTAATGAGGACCCTTGGATTTTGATATAATCTACGGTGCAGGATTCAGTATAAGCAATCCATGTCATTTTGAATGGACCAATGGGAAGGGAGGGTTAGTTTGAATATTGGTAAAAGCATAATCTTCTCGCCTGGAAAGGAATAAGCTTTTCCAATGTGTTTTTCTTTTACATAATTAATAATTTAATATAGGTAAGGGAAAACTCCAATTTAATTAAGATATAAATAAAGGTTACTGAATACTAATAAATCAATTGCTTTGTGGCCTCGTGAACATTTTTCAGAATTTTATTAGCTTTTTGCTCTTCTGGTTCAGATACTTAGTTTATAGTATAGTGTAAGTATATATATTATATAAGCTATACTCGATATAATATTAGCTAAGGCACTGATACTTAGTGTATAGTATAATGTAAGTATATATATATAGTGTTAGCACGAAGTGTGTGTGTTATATATATACACATACTAACATATACTATACTATACTATGCACTAAGTATCAGTGCATTAGCTAATATTATATCGAATATAGCTTATATATATATATAAAGCTATANAAAGCCAAATCCTAATCAAGAACAAACTTTCAAGACTATATTATAAAGAGTCGACTCTGGTAGAACGGGATTATTCTTTGTAGATGCCTTCGGCAGAATCAAAATAATATTTCTAGGTCATGAATTACTTGCAAATATCATATCAAGAGGCATGACACTATTAACAATAGTAGCAAGTGGTGTACCAACAACGATTTTATTGTGAGGCCACCCACTTTAGATTTGATATCCATCTTCAAAAAACTTAAATAACCATCATAAAATATATCAAAGTAGAGCAATTGTCCTAAATTTATAAGGAAAACAAAATTGATAATACGGGATGAATCACCTATGCCTAAGTGTCAAACAATCGAAATATTGCCCGTTGTTCTAGAGATATATTGGATATTAATAAACCGTTTGGTGGAAAACTAATGGTTTTGGAGGTGATTTCTGTCAAGTACTACCGGTAGTTCCAAAATCGACAAAAGCAGAGACTGTAAAAGCTAGCTTGTCAAAGGTATACTTTTGGCCTCAAATGAAAAAGATTCAACTGACAAGAAATATAAAGTAAGAACAGATCCAGTATTCAGTGACTTCTTGCTTCTTGTCGGAAACGAAGAAGAGCATCTAATAAAAGATGATTTGGTTCATCCTGAACATTTGGATATCAATCCAATGGTAATGGTGCATTTAATAAAAGAAATATTTCTATCATTAGATTAAAATGTAATTTATGCAAATCGCATGATAGAATTAAAAAGATATCTTAGCTAGCAAAATATGTTGATCAACTAAATAAAAGGTTGATTGCAAAATTTTATGGTAAAAACAAAATGTTTTTCTGTTTTTGAATCAGGAGAAAATGATACCAATAATTATTACCAAGAAAAATACTTAAATACTTTAATACCAGATGGCCTTCTACTATACATGTTTGTTGTCAAGTTTATTATTTCTTACATATGTTAGTGTCACAGTATATATAATAGACTAAGTTAAAATTGATCTTCCAGTGTATATAGGTTAATTTTGAAGAAAAATATGCATGCCATGCTACTGAAAAACTTAGATACGTCGAATAGCTTATGTAATAGCATAGATGGTATATAGAAGTTTTCACAATAACGTCATACATGCAAAAATTATGATATTGGTCAACGTGCTTATGAGTATATTCTTATCCCTGAATTCAACTTTCGTCTTCCGAAACTAAGGAATATCCTTTTAAATTTGTGTGAAAATAATTTTTAGTATGTTTATGCTTTCCAAATATAATTACAATAAATAAAGCACAAGGACAACATCCTAAATATTGGACTACATTTGCCGCAATATGTTTTCTTGCAAGAACAACTGTATGTTGCACTTTCAAGAGGGATATCAAGATCGACAACAAGAGTTTTGGTTAAGGCAGAGCAACCAAAGCATTAGGAGGAAACATACACAAAAAAATTTTATCCACAAATTAAAGAAGTGTTCGTTAAGATAACATCACATTAAATACTTTAATATAATACATAATTATCTAACTAACATAACAAAATTGATCATTTATGTAAATTTTGATGATGTCATTTTCTTTTAAATTCATGTATTATGCTAATGTAATAATATTTTTTGGCATTTAGATGATTGTTGCATTATTATTCATAAAATTCACTCACTAATTAAATTTTTTTGTTCCTTCATATAAATAAATATTTAAATCATTATGTGTCATTATTAACGTACAGCGCACGTTCATAGATACTAGTACTATATTAAAAGCACAAAGGCCCTTAGCGAAATGTCGTTCGCCTTTTTTACCCTTTAAAAATAAATTCTATACTAGACAAAATAGTAATTCAATTATTTTTCTAATATTTATTTAAGAGTTTAAAATTAACTAAGACTAGGCTACTAAACATTTTCCTATTTTAACTATGTACGAGTCCTAATTTGCACATACATTGTATCTTTAAATCATAAAAGCTTTATTATTATTTCCTTATATTCATTAATTAAGTAATACTTCTAAGTTTTATACAAGGAAATTGATTGATTTTGACTCAAGTCAAATCTCCTACTCCTAATAATTATCTAACAAAGTAG